AAGTGTGAGGTACACTAGAATATTTTGGTAGGAAGAATAAAAAGACTACATACTGTTTGGAAAATAAGTGTCTGATTAGGGCAGAGTAATACAGGGTAGACAAACAGGAGGCTAAAGAACACAGCAAGCCAGGCAGCATCTGGAGGAAAGGAGCAGTCAACATTTCAAGTATAACCCTACATCAGGACTGGATGTGGAGGTAGGAAGAGCTGCAAATAAAGAGAGGTGGAGGAGGACTGGAGGCGGAATGGTGGTGATAGGTAGACACTGGTAGTAGGAATGGCCTGGTTGGTCGATGGGAGGGATGTATCTGGTTGATGGCTGGAAGGGAGGGTCAGAAGTTTGAATGGAATGGGAGGGGTGAGATGGGTGGGAAGGTTATTTGAAATTGAAGAACTCAATGTTGAGTCCTCTGGGCTGTAGGGTGCCCAGGCAGAAGATAAAGGTGCTTTTCTTCAAATTTGCTTTCTGAGTCGCTACGACACTGGAGGATGCCAAGGATGGACATGTCAGAGGGGGAGTGGGGGCGGGTGGCTGAAATGGGCAGTGACCAGGAGGTTAGGTGAGGTTGGCTATTATGGGCCAGGTGAAGATACTCAGTGAAACAGTCACCTAGTCTATGTTTGGTCTCACCGACGTAGAGAAGACCACATCGGGAGCATCGGATGCAGTAGACTGGGTTGGAAGAGATGCAGGTGAAGCGCTGTCTCACCTGGAAGGGCTGTTTACGGCCTTGAATGGAGGTGAAGGAGGTGGTGTGTGGGCAGGTGTTGCATCTTTTACGGTTACAGGGGAAGGTATCGGGTGGGTTGGAGTGGTTGTTGGGGAGTGTGGTGTGAGCTAAGCAGTAGCGAAGGGAATGGTCCTTGCGGAATGCAGAGAGGGGTGGGAAGTTGAAGATGTTCCCGGTGGTGGGGTCTAATTGGAGTTGGCAGAAGTGTTTGAGGATGATACGTTGGATGCGGAGGCTGTTGGAGTGGAAAGTGAGGGGCACAATCCATATTACGTTTGGAGCAGGGAGAGGTGGTTAAGAGCTGTGGAGCGGGGAATGGAGGAGGCGCGGTGGAGGGCTGTCTGAATGACAGAGGGGATAAAGAGCATTGTTTGAAAAAGGCAGAGATCTGGGATGCTTGGGAGTGGAATGCCTCCTCGTCACAGCAGATGTGACAGAGACGGCGGAGTTGGGAAAATGGGATGGAGTTTTTACAGGATACAGGGTGAGAGGAGGTGTGGAGAAACAGAGTATTTGGGGTACAGATGTTATAATGCAATTATGTCTCCTGACAGACCCAAAGGCTCACATTGTGCATGCAGAAAATTCCACATATGCAAGCTTTGTGAAACGGCACTGGCAGTAAAAAAAAATGACAGCACCCAAACATGCATAATGAATATGCGTGAAGAGGATGATGGAATGATGTCAATGGCAGTATTGGCAGGGACATTATACATGCTTATCTTGCACAGGTATACTGAAAGCATTTTTGGGGGTATCAGCAGATGTTTTGTTATGATGCAGAAAACAAACTGAAGCACAGAACTGCAATCAATTTTTTTTACACAATTTCATGTTTATTTAGAGGTACATATTACAAACATTTACCTCCTAACCCAAAAACCACAGTTTTAGTCTGTTGTCATCTAAATATAGAAATTCAAATCAAATACCAGTTAATTTTCAGCACCTGCATAAATTAAACTGTTAAAAACTAAAAGAACTGCAGATGCTATAAATCAGGAAAAAACAAAAGTTGTTGGAAAAGCTCAGCAGGTCTGGCAGCATCTGTCAATAAAAAGTCAGAGTTAACGTTTCGGGTCCGGTGACTCTTCTTCAAAACAGTTCTTAGCTTCTAAATTAAACTGTTATTATCCAATTAACAACTGATACACACGTCACTGAAATAGCAGCACAAGCTAATAAAACCATTCATATTTCCAGAGGGACAGAATTGAAAAGCAGAAATGTTAAACTTGTCTAGAATGTTGATTGGACTACACTTGCAATACTATGAATAATTCTAGTCCCTATATTATGAAAGAAAAGCAATACAGAGGTATTGGAGGAAGTGCAAACTAGATACACCAGAATAAAAGAAGCCAAAGGATATAACCATATTACCAGGTACAGCTCTTTTCTCCAGAAAAAAAGCCTGAAAAGTGATAGGTTATGAAGGAGTTTGAAGGGTACAGTGAGAGATGTTGACACTGATAAATGCAACCGGAAATTCAGGGATAAGAAAACTCTTTAGTCAAAGTGTTGTTAGATTGTATAACATGATTCCCTAAGGGGGATAGAGAGAAATAGCAGGGATGTCTTACTGCATGGAGTATAATGTGGGAAAATGTGGAGTTCATTTTGGAAGATATATCCAAAGAACAAGTATTATTTGAATGGAGAAAACCTGCTTAAAGTTCCAACATAAAAAGGAACTTGGGAGGTATTTGTGCACAAAACACAGAAAGCTAGCACACAGGTGTAGCAGGTAATCAAGATGTTTAGTGGAATATTGGTCCTTACTTCAAGGGTATTGGAGAATAAAAGTAAGGAAGTCCTACTGGAACTGGTCAGAAGTCACATGACTCCAGGTTATAGTCCAACAGGTTTACTTGAAATCAGGGATAGTAGGAACTGCAGATGCTGGAGAATCTGAGATAACAAGGTGTACAGCTGGATGAACACAGCAGACCAAGCAGCATCAGAGGAGCAGGAAAGCTGATGTTTCGGGTCTAGACCCTTCTTCAGAAATGGGGGAGGGGAAG